CCTGGATTTCAGGCTTTCGGCCTGAAATTCAGGCTTTCGGCCTGAAGTTCAGGCTTTTAGCCTGGACGGACGCGGGCCTGCAAAATGGCCGTCGGCCCTGCAAAATGGCCTGTGTGTGCACGCGCTGCATGTAACACCCCCCCCTCCTTATGAAGTCAAGCCGGGGCGAGGGCGAAGCCGTCGGTCTGAAGGTGGAACCTGGACGCGGGCGCGGCGTGGAGCTGAAGAATCCGGCTTGCCTTGCATCTTGCGTTCGTAGCGTGCGAGAACGTTTGGAGCTGTTCCTTGCAGTTCTACACGGGTCAACCAACGATCAGCTCGATGAGTGCAGTAAGCAAAATGCACCAGATACTCAGTTGGCTTGTTGCCATAGCGTCGCTGGGAGATGATGTCGCCGACCTCCTGAAAACCATCCATAGAAGGTGGATCCTGCATACATCTCCCGGGAAAATCATCATGTTCCGCAGGCGTGTACAGAGCCAATTTGGAACAATGAAAGACTGGGTAGACGGGCAAGTGGCTAGGCACCTGAATCCTGAAGGAAGGCCCCTCAGGTGCGTCCCCAGCGGGCTCGATGATCGGCCAAGGCCCCATCCATTTCGGAAGGAGCTTGCGAGAGATGTCCTGTTAAAGGCTGAATTCCGCTGCTGAAACCCAGACAAGGTCTCCGGCGCGGAATGGACAAGGAAGACGCTGGCGATTTGCCTGTTGGCGCATGCGCTGTTCCGTCTTAGCCATCTGGTCGCATGCCTTGACAAGAAGCTCATGCATCCGACGCAAGAAAAGAAGATGGTCGTCGCTCTCGGCCGTGCGTGGAGTAATCGTGTTCAACGGTGACGTGACCGGCAAGTCGTGTTCGAACTCGAAGGGCGATATCCCAATAGCCGGGTGGATGGAAGAGTTGTTGGCCAACTCAACGTCCGGCAGTCGCTCAACCCAGTCTTTCTGGTCGGGGCGGATGAGAGTGCGAAGGAGAACCTGTGCGGTCTGATGCGCCCTCTCCGTCTGGCCATCGGTCTGAGGGTGGCGAGCTGAACTGGGCTTGAGAGATGAGCCCCATCGTTTGATGAGCGCCAACCAAAAATCGGACATGAACCGAGTGTCGCGGTCGCAGACGATCTCCTTGGGGTAGCCCTTGGTGCGAATCCAACCGGCGTACAGGACCTTGGCCAACTCCGGTGCCTTGGCATGATAGCGACAAGGCAAGAACATCGCGAACTTGGTGAGTCGATCGACCACCGTGAGAATCCCATCCACTCCGGTCTTGTGCTTGGGGAACGGGCCGATGATGTCCATGGCAATCGCTTCCCTTTGCCTCAGCGGGACTGGCAATGGTCGTAACTCGCCGTACGGACGGTGGTTGAGGGATTTGCAGCGTCGGCAAACCTCGCATGACTCGCAATAGCGCGTGACGTCGCCGAGAAGGCCGGGCCACCAAAATCGCTGGCGAAGTCGGCCATTCATGCGATGGACTCCAAAATGTCCAGTGGCGGGAGCGTCGTGGAACTCGCCAAGAAGCCGTGTACGCAAGTGAGGATCACTCGGTACGCAAAGAAGGTCCTTCCCCCGCATGTGGACAAGCAAGTACCCCTCTTGGATCCGGTAGTGAGAAGGAGCCGGATTAGGAGAGGAGCAATTCGCGTACTTGTCGCGAAACTCCGTGTCGGCTTGGTAGCCGCGTATGAAGCTGTTCCGCAGGTCATCATCAATCTCGAAAGTCGAGTAGACCGCGGTACAATGATCCGGACGCCGTGAAAGAGCATCCGCAAAACGGTTCGACTTCCGGGGAATGTGATCGGGAAAGAAGTCGAATTGGTCGATGAAAGCCATCCATTGAGCGATGGTGCTGTTGACGGTGTCTTGGGTCTTGTAGAAGACCAACGGATTGTTGTTCGTTACCCAGCGAAATTGGCTTCGACCAAGGAGGAAGTTTCGCCACCGCTTGAGCGCGTGGACGAAGGCGAGGAGCTCCTTCTTGCGTGCATCGTCAATGGAATGCACGAGTGGCACTTTCTTGCTGAAGTACTCGACCGGGTGCCAGTCCACACCATCATGTTGCTCGAGGACTGCACCAATGCCATAGCCTGATGCATCCGTAGTGACACGTGTAGGCGCGAGCGGGTCGTATATCCGCAAGACCTCCGCAGACAATAGCGCGGCTTTGAGAGCGAGGAATGATCCCCGCGCCTCCTCTCCAAAGTCAAACGGCCGATCCTCGCACTGAAGCTTGTTCAAGTGGGCCGCGATCTTGGAGTAGCCTTTGATGAAGCGCTGATATTAGTCGGTAAGACCGAGGAACGAGTGGACATACGTTACGTTCCGAGGCTCCAGCCACTCTTGGACGGCCTGAATCTTGTCCGATAGCGGACTGATGCCCTCCGGTGTGACAAAATGGCCCAAGTATTCCAGCTCTTGCCGGACAAATTCGCACTTGTCGCGGTTGGCCTTGTACTTGGCACGGCGGAGTGTCTCCAACACGTCGAAGATGTCCAAGATGATCCTCCAATGTCCGGCTGTAGATGAGAATATCGTCTAAGTAGACCAGCACGAACCGGTCCAACATTGCACGGAACTCATTGGTCATCGCCGCCTGGAACGTCACCGGGGCGTTGGTGAGGCCAAAAGGCATGACCACCCACTCAAAATGCCCGTACTGCATCCTGAATGCGGTTTTGTAGCGATCGTTCGGTTGAATCGAGATTTTATGATATCCTGATTTCAAATCCAACTTGGAAAAATACTTCGCACCGCCCAGTCGCTCGAGAAGATCGTCGATGCGAGGAAGAGGCCCCGCATTCTTGACGGTTTGCACGTTGAGCTTGCGGTAGTCGATACACAATCATAGATCCTTGTTCTTCTTCCTGACGAAGAGAACTGGTGCTCCATATGGGGAGGTACTCGGGCGGATCCAGCCCTTGGCCAACAAATCATCGAGTTGTGAGCGGAGTACCTCAAGCTCCTCCTTGCTCATCCGATAGATGCGACCTTTCGGCGGCACAGCACCGGCCTTAAGAATGATCTTGTGAGAGATCGGCCGACCCGGCACCACACCGGTAGGTGACTCGAAGATGTCGCCGAACTCGTCCAGCAACTGTACCACACGGGGGTCCGAAGACAAGTCCGTGGGTGAAGAGTCGGCTACCGCGACGGTCCGTAGGAAACATATGCCGATTTCCTCGGGCTGCTCGTAAGCACAAGTCGCCCGGAATGATTTGGCCGTCACCACTTGGCACCGGATCGAAGAGTGTGGTAGAGGAATCGAACACGCCACTTCCGCCCAGAAGGCGTCGCGAACGCTAAGAGTCCGTCGATGGAAGTTGACCGTGTGATCCGCACTTGCAAGCCAAGGCATTCCCAGAATGATGTCGAAGTCCGTGTCGAGAATATCGAACGTCACCGGTTCGCATGCATGAGGTGCGAAGTAGACCGGTACGGCCTCGATGTAACGGTCGAGTAGTTGCTGCGTCTTTCCGTCCGCCAACTTGATCGCCGTCGGGTTTGCCTTTCTTCGAACTTGTGCGCCAAGGCCAGCTCTTTGCATAAAAGACTGGCTCATGAAGTTGCGAGTCGCGCCGCTATCCAGCAAAGCGCTGCAGGACGCTTGCCCAACCTGGATGCGGACATACATGAGCGGTGCATTGTTGTTATCGTACCGCTGCGTGCGAAACTCACGGGCCACCTTGGTAACGTATGCCAAGATGTCCCCGACCGCGACTTCGTCATCCGTCGGCGAAGTTGGTGGTGCATAGAAGGAAAGGTAAGTGTGGAGATGAGCGCATAGTGCTGCGCATTGCGGTCCCGGCAAACAGCCTGTGGTCCGGAGAGGAAGCCATGCAAAGTCCTCAGACGTGAGCTGGTCCAAAACCTCTATCTTGAACTCGCGCGCCGAATCCTGTGACGAACCGCTTGAAGACGATACGTCGCTGTTGCCGGACGGAGAAGAAACCGCACACACTCCTTGTCCTTGAGCTTGAGTACCCAGCGTTGGAACGAGCCGGGCAACATAGTCCTCGAAAGAAAATAGAAGCCGTGGACTGTCGACTTCCGCGTGCGCCTCTGAATGAAGGCTGGTCACTCACGAAGAAACCAGTTCCGAAGGCGTCGAGAGTGTTGTCTCGTCACTCTCGGCGGTGCTCAGTTTCCCTGTCTGCCCTTGCCTTTCAATGGGCAAACCTGCGTCTGATGAAGATCGTTGTTGCACCAAAGGCAATAGTGGAATCTCTCGCGCGCCTTGTAGGCGGACTCGGAGATGTTGTACGGGGTCCATGGGCCTTTCTGAGCTGTTGCACCGGGCCCGGGGCTAGAAACGGTGTGTGTCTTCGGCTTGCCGCGACCTCGGACTCTGCCAGGGCGGCCACCTTCCCGGGCGGTTGCGAATCTGTCCCCTTCACTGGCAGACGCAGCCTCGCTGGATTGGTCTAACGGCGCTGCCGCTGCGACCACGGCCACTCGTGGCCGATGCTGGTTCCCGCTCGGGCCTGACGCAGATGAACGGAGGTTCTTGGCCTCCTTGTTCGTGACGATGATCTGCGCAGCCTTGTCAAATAACTCCGCCGTTGTCGTCAAGGTGTCCTCGACATGCATCAGAGCATTGCTCAATGTCGGACATGACCTTGAGATGAAGTAGTGGCGGATGGCCTTGAAGCCCATCTGGATGTTTGGGACTGACGTCAAGCGTTGGTACTCGGCGATCCAGTCCGTACTCGGCAGCGTGCCTTGCTCGAAGACCATGAAGTTGTCCATGGCTTTGATCTCTGGCGGCTCCACCTGGAACCGCTTGTGCCACGCCGCCTTCAGATCATCCCAGCTGATCATGGTGTGCAAGTCCGCTGCTACCAGTCCGTACTTGGACAACAAGTTGTCCAACCACGCCTGACACGCGCCCCCTGAGCGAGAGTACAAGTAAGCGTGGTGCTTGTTTTCCTTGACGTTGTGGATCTACAGCGTGAGCTGGAACTTGCGAAACCATGGAATTGGATCTGTCTTGACTGAGTCGTGGAAGATCTCCTGCCCATCGAACTTAGGAGCTGTCTCGCGCGGCTCCGGACTCGAGGTGGTGGCGGTAGTGTAGATCCGCTGCTGCAACTGTTGCGTCGCGGTCTGCTGTAACTGTGCGCCGTCTTGGAGGGAGCCGACGTGCATCTCCAATGCGGTGAGGCGGTCGGCAGTATTGGAAGAGCCTGCGTCGGCGGCGACGACTGGTCGCTGCTCCACCCGCTGAAGGCGGTCGTGGAGCTGAGCTACCGAGTTGTCGAGACCAAGGATCTCCGCCTGCTGTGTAATGCAGGTTGCTAGGAGATCCGTGAGATGTGAGAGGAGGAGCGCTATCTTGTTTGCGCTGTCTTCCAACTGGCTGTTCTCGGCCTCGCTTTGCCATTCTGCTGCCATGGTAAGTAGCACCCGCTCTCCGGTGAATATCTTCTCACGACGCTGTGTTCTTTTTTCATCAGCAGCCCTTGCTGCTGCCTCGTCGTGTTGGCGCTGTTGTTGCACGGCCAGCAGACGTGCCTGTTCGGCATCCTCTACCCTTTTCTTGGCTGCTGCGGCAGCGTCATCTGCCCGYTTCTTTGTCTCGGTACTCCAGGCTAACATGCGGGCCTGATAGGCCTCGTCTGTTTCCCTGGCCTTCTGGTCCATGACTGCTGTCTGTGAACGCAACAGCATAGACCAGACCGGTGCCTGCTGATGTGGTATCCCTTGCTGCTGACATGGGAATGCTGACGTGTCCTGCTGACGTGTCCTGCTGATGTGTCCTGCTGACGTGGCCTGCTGATGTGGTCTGCTGACGTACTTACGTAGCCTGCTGACGTNTGCTGACGTGTCCTGCTGACGTGTCCTGCTGATGTGTCCTGCTGACGTGGCCTGCTGATGTGGTCTGCTGACGTACTTACGTAGCCTGCTGACGTGGTCTGCTGACGTGACCTGCTGACGTGGCAACTTGCCAATGTCGTCACGAGGGGTACCTGGAGACAACCAGAAACGGCAAGGCGAGAGATGGCAACAACGTAGGTGGGGAGGGGTGGGTGGGATAATCGCCCAACTCACACTTAGATAAGGAGCCACTAATCAAAACAGAAAAGTTTGAACTTTGCAAAAATTTTCGAGAAAACTAAAAAAAATAAAAATCCGGATTTTTGCAAGTTCGGTAGGTCTCCCAATCTCCCTTGAAGTA